GGGGTTTAAGCTTTAGGGTTTAGGTACAGGGTTTAGGGTTTAGGTATAGGGTTTAGGGGTTTAAGGTTTAGGGTTTGGGTATAGGGTTTAGGGGTTTAAGGTTTAGGGTTTGGGAGTTTAGGGTTTAGGGTTTAGGAGTTTGCGGTTTAGGGTTTCGGGTTTTGGGTTTGATACCAAACATGTCTACACACGACGGTTTAGGGTGTAGGGTTGATTGCAGACTTTTTGTATACCATGTATACTGTAGATACGGCAGATACTTATTTCTCATGAGTCGGGTGGAACGGCGGAGGCCTTGCAGCAATGAACGACTGAGATCTCGCACGGGCGAAGCTTGCGCCTCGCATAAACCCTAAACCCTCAACCCTAAACTCAAAAACCCCCAACCTCTAAACCCTGAACCCCTAAACTTAAACCCCTAAACCCCTAAACCCCAAAGCCCTCAATCTTCAAACCCTCAAGTCCCGAAGCCCCAAGACTCAGATCTTTAGTTGAGTACTCGGCTTAAGGAACTTAGGTCTGGTACCATGATACGAAAAGCTGTGCCGTTGCCATACATGAAAACTGACTTACTTCAAGCTGCTGTGGGACGGATGTATTCCAAGCGCCTTCCTCCTTCCACAACAAGAACCCAAACCCAAAACCCTAAACCCAAAATACCCTGAACCCTCAGCTCTAAACTCTAAACCCTGACGCCTAACCCAAAGCCCTACACCCCAAAAATCCTCAAGCCTAAGACCTAAACCAGCAAGCCTAAACTCCCCCAAACCCTGAAAGGCTCCCCCCCAAAACCCAGGGCTTCAAGAGCTCCACCTTTCCGGCCCCGCGCGGAGGGCCTGGCCTTCCGAGAAAAGTCAGCCCTCGGGTTAAGATGGAACAGGGTTTAGGGTTTAGGGTTCAGGAGCCGTCGTCGATGGGCACACATGCCTTTAGGTGCTCTTCGCTTCCAGAGGTCTGCTTGCTGCGTACACTATCCGTCCATCCATCTATCTGTCGATCCGTATTCTGTTAAATGCAATGTAGCAGAACAGAACAGAATAGAATGGAATAAAGAAGAGAACAATAGACAAGAACAGAAGAGAAAAGTACTGTATTTGCTATGGTGTGTCACTTACCTTATGTTGCTATACTATCTTCTCGCATATTATAAGCAACGGTAGCTGTATAATTACATATACTGTGTTGTCTTATTTATGTTGATGGTGCGTACTTTTCCTATAGTATTGCACTATGTTCTACTGAACTCAACCATACCAAACCACAGTCGATCCTAGCCTGTGCTTTTCGTTTCGTTTTATTCAATATGGTGTCTTATATTAGTTATGCTCTTTAAGTAAACTCCATAATATGATAGAGTAAACTGGATTGCACAGAAATGATCTGAACATCATATTTTCTACTGTCATACGTTTTATCTCATCTTCAATTATGTTGCATACTCTATTCTACCACAGTACACTACATTAAGCTACATTAGGTTGGACTAGAACGTGCTATGCTATGTTACACTGTTTTAAAGCACATGACAAGATTTGACACGACATGATAACAAAGCATACTGCACTGTATCTTGTTATATTTCATTGTGTTATTTCTGGCTATCTTGCATTCTAGACTGTTCTGTTCTACCATGTGGTGCTATATTGTACTATACTGTAGAAGGGTTTGCCATACTGCATTACACTGTGCTATGTCACATACCCCTAAACCCTAAACCCTAAACCTAGACGCGGCCACAATTGACCTACCAAAATAAGCCCTTAAGCCCCTGCCCAGGTCACATCCTCAGCTTCGACTTCTTCGTTGCAAAGGGGGGGTGGGGGGAGGGATGATAACAAACATGTTCACGCACTTCGTATGCAAGTCGATGCTTCTTATTTCCAACTCAGTCCTGCGCTGTCATGTGTGTGTTTTGTAGGAATGCGGGCTGCCGGCAAACATGTTCACATGCCTGTTCTTGCCAAAACAAACATGTTCACATGCCTGTTCTTGCTAAGTTTTGGCCGAAGATGTGGACTCCACCTAGACAGCGTAGAATCAGTGAGGCTTCAAGCCCATACAGTGTTGCGAGCTCCCGGCTAGAGCTTCAGCTATGGTCTCCAATGTCCGTTCAGTCGTCGCCGGACCGTGCCGTGGCTCAGTCGTCGTCAGTCCGCAGTGCAGTACGGTGAACCAGTATGTTAAGAAATATTATCAAACAAGAAATGAGACTCTGGCACAC